CCTACATTATTTAACATCTATTTCGACCACGTAGTTTGAGAAGCTTTCCATGGCTGTACTGGAGGAATTTCCATCTGGTACAGATACAATGGGAGGCTGATCGATGCCTGGGTGCGGTCGAGGGATGGCTCTCTATTGGTATGCTGATGATCTGGTAATTGCTGCTCACTCTGAAGTGGAGTTGGAGGTGCTGCTGCTGAACTTGGAGCATGCTACTAAGAGGTGGGGCCTTACCGTCAGCCCCTCCAAAATTAAGCACCTGTCTGGGTATTTTGTGTCATAAAACACTCCACCTCAACTCCTCATTGGTGGGGTAGTTGTGGAGAGAGTGGAGAGGTGTCCATACCTGGGCAGTCTGCTCATGACCGGCTCTGGTTTGACAGCAGAGGTCTCACTCCGAATTAGTCGAGTGGCATTATCTTTTCATTGGCTGCGTAACGCTGTGTAGAAGCTAGCTATCTGGTGTGTCCCTCCACATGAAGCTTTGGGTCTTCTCGGCCACAGTCATGCCCTCCCTTCTCTATGCTTTAGAAACATGGACCCCCCCCTAATAGAACATCTTTACCAGTTAGAAACATTTAGGCTGGCCTGCCTACAATCCATCTTGTGTTTGACCAGCATGAATTGTGTGAGGAGCTCACAAATCCTCGAAAGATCTGGACACAGTCCCATTGTTGAGCTCCTGCAGGCAAGGCTGCTTTGGCTGGGTCATGTAGCCCACATGCCCAGCCACTACATGCCTAAACAGCTCTTGTTCGGCCGGATCGAGTGGGCTAAACGGGTGTGGCACGGGCTAGAGAAGAGATGGAATAATGTGGTGCGAGAGGATGTGGAGCTGAGTGGACTTGCCAATGACTGATACCAGCCGTGTCAAGATTGGGCTCTGGAGGAGGCTCGTGAAGGACGCTACTGGGCAGTTGGAGGCAGTCGCCCTCCAGCAACAGCAGAAGGGGAGAGGAGCGACGATCACAACGAGCAGAGTTCCGAGTGGCTAAAACAGCAAGTTGGCACAGTATGGGGCACAGGTGGTGCATCTGCCAGTCATCTCAGTCAGTCAACCCAAGGCACCTGGGTCTGTCCCATGACCTCTTGCCAGCTGCCGTTCAACACTTCACGTGGCCTTAACATGCACATCACCGCCACTTAGTGGCAAATGGTGGTTATTGTTCTTGTATGTATGACCATGTGCGCTTGTGTGTTATATGTATGACTGCGCGCATGTGTTATATATATGACCATGTGTGTGTTATATGTATGACCATCTGCACCTGTGTGTGTAATATGTATGACCATCTGCACCTGTGTGTGTAATATGTATGACCGTTTGAGCAGGGAGCCCACTTAAGGCCGTGTCCCCGTCGCGCCCGGTGCTGAAGCAGCGCGTGGGCCCCCGGGTCCTTGGGGTCCACTCGTCGGTGACCCCGCGCTCGCCCCTCGCCCTCGTGACCCCGCGCCCGCCTCTCTACCTCGTCTCCCTGTGCGACCGCAACTCTCCGGGCAAGCCTCAGCGTCCGGCCGTCACGGCGAGTAACCCGCAGTGCCGCGTCGTCATGTCGAGGCGGTGGGGAAGGGTCGCCTCGAGGCCACGGATTCTCAAACTTGCTTGGGCCGCGGATCCAATCACCCGATGCACCCTGGTGACAAAACAGTTTCACCTCTCTCTTGATACCAGTCATGCAACATGGTTAATATTGCCGGAAAATTAAGAAAAAAATATAGCTATAACTTCATTTTTTAATTAAACATCATGAGTAAAATATAAATGTCCGATCAAGATACGTTTGTATCACAGCCCTGCGGACCACCCCCGGTGGTTCCGGGGACCGCACTGGGAAGCACTGCTCAAGGCCATCCTGATTAGCCTGAAACAAGTGCTCCGGGAATTAATTAATCCGTATCATTTTCATTATTTTCTCTTTCCCTATAAGACCCTATTGCCTTTCCCCCCCACTGCACCACAAAGCGTGTGTTGGGGCCGTAGCAGAGCCAGCCGTGCGCCAGAGGTCGCAAACGGGTTTTGATTCCTTACCCGTATCCGGCCGCACCAGGGTCGCAAACGGGTACCCGTACCGGATCGGGTACGGGTAGCCGGGTATCGGGTACCCGATTGCGACCTCTTGGATGAAGCCATGTTGCAGGCGCGGGTGGGTTGATTCTAGGAACTTGAATTGTGAGAAGAGACAAGACGTTGGGAAATGAGTGACAAACGGTTACTCACCATATTCTTAGGTTTTTTCGGTAAAGTCACGTAGGTAAAACATCAAAATTAATTTAAAAAAAAAATCACGACGTTTCGGAGGCAACACAAGTCTCCGTCATCAGGTGGGACCGTCACAGCCGGATTAGCTGCATCAAGTGAGGCAATGATTCAAGATGTAATCCCTTAAAAGCAAGTTGAGGGGGAGGAGAGGGGGGGAGCTCATCAGAATGTGGTAGCCAATTTACTCACCAGTGACTCACGGCCTTCTCACTCATTGGTTGGGGTGAGTCACGTGCGGCTACCCGTACCCGGCCGCACCAGGGTCGCAAACGGCTACCCGTACCCGGCCGGGTAGCCGAGTATCGGGTAGGGTACGGGTATTGGGTTCCTGATTGCGACCTCTGCCGTGCGCGGCATAGGAGACACCCAGCTGCTTTTCCACTGCAGGAGCCAAGCCGTGCCGCCGACGTGTTTGCGAGAAATTGACGAGTCGAGGGCACGCATAGGCGACGCGGCAACACCGTGTCCTCGCAGTGCGCCGACTGACGTCGAATGCATTGCGATCATTTTGATCATTTCGCTGCTATAAATGTCCAAATGATAAGCCACTTTGTTGAGCTATCATTTGTGGCCAGGTCGCTTCTGATAAATAAGTGAATACCTCGGTGAGCTTTGCCTGGTAGGATGGGTATGGTTTAGTTGTATTTGTATGTGTTTGGGTGATGTTTACCTTTCTTGTACTTTCCACTACTATCACGTTTTTGTATTGTTTGTTGTTGTAACATTCTTAGCCGCCCCTCCTGAACATCTGTGAAAGAGCTTTATAGCTCATCGGATTCCTCCAGTACAAATAAATATTCTGATTCCTACCTGGCCCTGCTTGGTCTCCCTTGCCAGATTCGGGTGTCCTGTGAGTCCAGCAGCTCATCACGTTGTTTTGTTTCTGGCTCGGAACAGCAAATAGAGTGGGGAAAACCTCCCATACCGTGAGGGCCCCATGCTAGCACAAGTCGGATGTGCCAGTGGTAAGCGGGTAAATTTTTGTCTATTGAGCAGTGAACACCTCCACACGTGGTAACGTTTATTTGTTTAACTGGGTGAGAACTGAAGAAACCAGGAGAGTCTCGTTTGGAATGTCCATGGCACAGTAGTAATGTGCGCGTGTCCACACAGGGTCGCAAGGGAGGCTCCGGTGAGGCGCTGCACGTGCCCGCTCGCGCCGGGCGCAAGCACGAGAGGGTGATGGGCGGTGACAAGGAGAACAGCTCCGTCCGAGCTCTGGATGACTGAAGATGCCGCCGCCGCTACTGCAAGCCGTCAAAGCAGATTCTCAACAACAGCAGCCACTGCCATTGCCTTGGGTCGACGAGGAGTTTGCCAAACACCCCCGAGCAGAACCCTCTTGGAAAGTCTCGAGACTCGGGAGTTGAGACTCGGCTTTGAAATTTCCTCAAAGACTTCGTGACGATTCACCCTCTGCGCTTGGATGAATCGCCACAATCCTGTTTGAGCATCGACTATTTCGTCCTCGCGTAACATCGCCATCTGTACCGTCTCGTGTGTTGTCTCATTCAAATCTGGACTCTCACTTGCTCCCGCTAGGTACTTTACCATCGTTACATCTCGTCACTGCCAGACTTGTTCCGTCGTTGTTTCATTCCATCCGCACAAACTTCAATCTCTTCCATCCCATTTATGTTGCCACGTGTGTGCCATTTCGTTCGCTCGGTGTAGTTCCTTCACTGTGCATGTTGAAGATCCCCTGACGTCGTTGGCAAGAGCAGGCCGTTGCGTGTGCACATCGGGGGTCTATCATTTTCCAACTTACGAGAACTCTACGTGCAATTACTCCAGTGGGATCTTGCACTTAGTACCGGCAGGACTAATGCCCGCTGGTGGCGAGTCACCTTGCACGCACAGGGATGAGATGCAACAGAAAGCGCGCCGAGACGGTCCGGCATGTAGGCTGCGACGTCGATCACGCCACCATCATCAGTTCTGTTCTGAGTTCCGCGTGGTTTCCTCCAGCTCATGTGGATGGTCTCGTTCTGCTGCGTTTGTTCTCGTGGTGTTGGCCATTCCTGTTTCACCCATTCTCACCTTGGGCCCAATTCCTTTTGGACAGTGGGTTAAGGCCAAAAGAAACGTTCGCATAGTGTTTGTGCAAATCGAAAGCAATTAATCCCCCCACCTCCAAAGTGAATTTAATTGCCTGCGTTGTGATTTGTCGTGTAGTTCCCATGCCGCGTTCATTAAAAAGTTACACTACGGTCCAGCTCCAGGTTCCTCTCCAAATGCACTGCCAGCGCTTTCAAGCCTCTTGGCAAGTGTGGTGGTGGTGGTGGGGTGACGAGGTTCGAAAACGTGTGGCGCGATATTGGTTTAAATGTTCGGTCAGCTTGACTGACGCGGTCTTCACAAGATATGCTGTAACAATTGCGACAAAAGATGAGGGGGGGGGGGCATGGTGAAGTGTAAAGAGGTACATTGATGCAGGGCCCCCACCGGCCACAGACCTAACGTGCGCTCTCAAACTCGACCTCGCTGTGTATATTGCCGACCTGATAATCACGTGCTCATCACGAGCTCTGCACCCTTCTCGTTGCGTTCCTCGTGTATGGTCTTCAAGTCACGGCTCGCTCGGTTTTGCACATTTTTCTCGCCAATAAAAGTAATTTTAGCCACGATTTGGTCTTCGAAAATGGTTGAGGACAAACACCCAGGCAAGGCAACTTTCCACGTAGTTTTGAAAACACGCACAATTTCTAAGGATGGGTTTTATTTCCAACATTACAAAACTTTGCAAACCGGGTGGTATTTATTTTGCACCTTAGAACTATATTCTTACAAAAACCGACAACAAAATAAAGACGGCCAAGATATTTCACGTGCGACTTCGGTCGGGTTAACATTACACCAGCCCTGCCCCCTCACTTTGAAATCAGGAGGCGGACCTCTAATTTACCTGCAACCCTCCTACCAATCACAGCATCCTGAACTGACTACTCTTAGCACAATGTTTACCAGTGGAGAAACCACGGTTGTGTCTATGGGTGTCATTATCTGTATGGGTGTCTGGATCTGCATGGGTGTGTCTGCATTTATGTGTGGGGAGCTGTCGTGTAGCCACACTGGCAGATTCTACACGAGTGGCGAAGCTATCAATTGTGCGGGTGGAGGGGCCCAGGTGCTGAGCTATGAAACTGGGACAGGCCAGGGGGGGGCATTATACTCATTGCCCCCAGGGCTGCTGCCAACGACGATAGCGAGACATGAAGACTTACCAGAGACAGAGGAAGGCACAGAGACGGAGAGAAGGAAAGGACCGAGCAAGTGTTGTGGCTATTGAGTGTGCAGGCGGTGCAACTGCGCCAGGGCTCACAGGCTGGAGGGGCCGAGGCATTTGCCTACAAATATTATGGGGGTTCAAAAGTTGGACAGGAGGAGCCCCAGTTGACGTCTTGCACCAGGGTCCAAGTCAGCCAAGCTACGCCACCGTTCCACTTCCCAGGATTCATCACGAAACGATTTTTCCCCAAGCGGATTAAAGCAGGGCGAGAGGAGACGCACGCGCCCGTTATGGGGGACACCGCCCACAGCTGCGTAAACAACAAAAAACGTCGAAGCCCTTCGGGTTGCGCGCAGCGGCACGCGGATCTAGGCACTTGGGGAGAGCTACGCTAAAGGGAAGGAGGGCTGAGCGTCGACCTAGAGTCAAAACGAAACACCTGACGGTTACAATTGATGAGCGGGAGGGGTGGGGGTGAAGGTAAAGGTGCAGGCCCTGCAATTGCTCACTCACGTCACGGCCTCCACCAGAGGAAACTCTTGAAGAGCCCCCTTCCCCACCTCTAGAGGGTATTTGGCCTACTCTTTCACACGCTGGCCAGGCATCTTGGATAAAAGTGGCACAGTGCTGGGTGGACGAAGGCGTAGGAGTGGGGGTGGGGGGGGATTTGAGAAACTTGGACCGACGTTTCAACCGCCGCGCTCCGTGAGATTGACGGCAAACATAATAATACCGAAGCTGACGAAACAGAAACGCTGCCAAGGTGGCCACATTGCCCGCAGAGCTTCAATGTCCGTGATCCCAGCAGTTACCGCCGGCTCCGCGCTGACCTCAGCCACCGCGATAAACGCCCATTTTAGCTACGGGAGATCTGTGAAAAAAATAACTTCATAAGCTCATCGGATTCCTACGATCTAAATAAAGGTTTCGATTATGACCGATTTGAACGCCTATGTAGAAGAGGCACGTGGCCGTGAAGGCCACGAAGCCTTTTGCCGCGACCTGCCAGTTTGGGTGAAGAGTCAAATGTCGAGGGATGAAAACGAAACGGAGTAAAACTTACAGGGTAAAAGCGCTCACGCTGCGACATCCGAGTCAAGTTTAGGACAAGGCTCCACCTCTTAAGAGAGAGTGGAGTCGCTGAGAGGGGGTGGATTCGCACCTTCAATTAGCATGGTGGGGCTACGTACGGTGGGGAAAAAGTTAAACACACATACGGGGACTCCTCGACTTATGAATGAGTCAGGTTCCAGAGGTTTGTTCGGAAGAGGATTTGCTCGTAAGTACAACTTTACGTCCTGTCGATTCCAAAAATGTTGTACGGCACGTACACTAAACACAGGGAATGGCTTTAAAAGTTATATAATCTCCTGTAGATGCCACTGGTTCTTCATATTCTGCAAACGTAGATGCCACCACCGCCATCTATTGCGCGGCGATTGAACTTACGAATCTCGGTCCGAACAGGCAAATGGACATACGGACAGCTTTGTTCGTATCTCTGACAGTTCGTAAGTCGAGTGTTCGTAAGTAGAGGAGTCACTGTACATAGTACACGGCGGGGGTGGGTAGAGCCACCATTAAAGCATGTGGTCACAGGGTGGAGAGGGTGGAGAGGGTGGAGCAACTGGGTAGAGCAGGTGGAGCCGCCACGCGTGGGAGGAGTCGCTGAGTGGAGGTCGGTGGGTTCCCCCGTGGGTCGAAAATGCACATCAGGGGCACTTCCTGTCGACGCATTGCTTCCCGCCCTCCTCGTACTCCTGCTTGGAGATCCACATCTGCTGGAACGTTCCCTGCGCATGCAAAAACAAAGATCCCCCCAGGTAGTCTTAAAACTGTTGGGGCAAGTGCTGTTAGCGCGTAGCACCTATGAAGGCCGGCACGGCACGCTAAGGGGGTGGGTGGCCAGCACCATGTTGTCTCCCGAGAGGCGATGTTTAAACACCGCACCAGGTACTCATTTGAGGCTGAGTCGACCTAGGGAAGGCCCAGAACCGGTTCAGATAATTGTCACTGGTGTTGGCCCGTGAGCGAGAATCGAACTCTGGCCGCCGGGTTCAGAGCACTACACTACCGCTCCCATGCGCATGCGCACATATACACGTACAGACGCACATGTAGATATATACACTAAAAAACAAGCAAACAAGCATATACAGTAAACTAAACTATAAACTAAACAGTTTTTATTTTACCACTTAAGACCCACTGAGATATATAGCTCTTTTTCAGAAGTGACCTGGCCACAAATGATATCTCAACGAAGTGGCTTATTATGTGGAAATGTATAACAGCCAAATATTTTAAATGCATGCTGACTAAATGTGGAGGAAAACCGGAGGAACCGAACAAAAATCCACGTGGCCATGGGAAGGACATGTAAACTCCAAATATACAGCAGGGGTCGATCAGGGTGGGGATCAAACTCACGACCTCCTGTAGATCAGGTAAGGTAGTTAACATCTCGTAGCCACCGTGGTGATGAAGTGTGAGAGCGAACGTGCGTGTGCGAATGTTTGTGAGCAGGACTGAATGTGTTTGTGAGTGTGAACCTGTGAGCGAGCGAGTGATTGAATGATGAGCGAGTGAGTGAGCGTTACACACCAGCGATGCGAGGATGGAGCCGCCAATCCAGGAGCTGAATCTTCGCTCGGCGGAGCTGGTGTTAGAGATCAACTTCAGCCTCATGCTCTGTGGTCCAAATCCACAGACAAACACAAAGACGCACATATAGACAACAACCAGCATTCGCCACTAAGTGGCGGTAACTTCACCACGAAGCTTGTGCCAGGGTCGGTGTCGAAAGCTCACTGGCAGGAAGTCAAGGTACAGTTCTCCAGACACACACAGAGACAAAGATCCCCGTATTGCATTGACAGACTGTTGGGGCAAGCACTGCTACCGTGCATCTATAAAGGCCGGCACGGCACACGAGGGGGTGGGGTGGCCAGCACCACACCCGGCCATCTTTGTCTCCCCAGTGACGATGTTTACACACTGCACCAGGTACTCATTTGAGGCTCAGTCGACCTAGGTGAGGCCCAGGACCTGTTCGCATAATCGGCATTGGTGAGCGGGAATCAAACTTGGGTTGCCGAGTTCAGTAGTGCAGCGTGCTAACTGTTACACTACAGCTCTCCACACACACAGACAGTTACAGACACACACAGACACAGTTACAGACACACACACACATGCAGATGCACAGTCACACACAGCCACAAATGCAATGTACATACGGGCAGCCACAAAGAATCAAAATCCCACAATTCATCACACAGGCCATTGGGGGGGTCGTGATACTACTGATGCTACTGGCCCTTGCTAGTTGCTGTGACGGTGGCGGTCACTTCCTTGTACGTAAGCGATGCCTGCCGATGGTTAACGGTGGCTGCGTCACTGGAGTATGTCGACTCACCGGCGGAGTTTTCTGTGAGAGCTCGCGGTTGATGCGGTCGGTGAAGCTCGGCAGGAGAGTGTTGCCCCCAGCGAGCATCACGCTGCCGTAGAGACCCTGCGCTCGCCGCAAATACCGCCACCACGCCCGTGTGAAGTGTGGCGTCTGTGGTGTGGTATGCGTAGGGTGTGATGTGCCTGGTGTGACGTTCGTAGTGCGGTATGGAAAGGATGTGGGAGTGTGGGTAGGCTTGAGTCTCAAGCTATTGTGGATCATCCAGGGGGTAAGGAATGGTGGGGGCCGACACCCCCACTGCAGATAAACATCCGTAGAGGGACGCAGGCAAGGCCAGTGAGTCCAATGCATTATTTTACCTCCTCCCTCAGGTGTTGGATCAAGTAGCCCCATCTGTGAGCTCCTCTGGCAGGTGAGGCTGCATTGGTTAGGTCACGTAGAGCGCTTGACCAGCCACCGCATGCGGAAAAAGCTTCCGTTTGGTCAAATAGAGGGGGCTAAATAGGCACGGCACTGGCTGGAGAAGGGAAGGACTGATGTGATAAGGGAAGATGTGGAGCCGAGTGAACTTGCCGATGACTGGTACCAGCGGTGTCAAGATCGGCCTCTATGGAGGAGGCACGTGAAGGATGCTACTAGGCAGCTGGAGGCAGTCGTCCTCCCAACAATGACGGAGGGTGGAGGAGCGACGGCTCACAACAACGAGCAGAGTACCGGATGGCTAAAACACAGCGAGTTGGCACATCCAGCTTCTGTTTGGCTGGATAAAGATGCGGCTAAGTGGGTGTGCGACACGGCCGAGAGACAAGGCTTGCGACGCGTTGCATGGTGCGCCGTGTACGACGAAGGACCGCAGCGGCCTGCAGGCACTCACGGGCCGGATGTCGATGTCGCACATGCCCACGCTGGTGGTCACCACGTGGCTCACGCCCAGCATAGTGTTGCCGGTGAGGCCCTGCCGCACCAAAGACAGAACCACCAACATCGTCGTCGTCATCGTCACCGACACCACCCCCTCCTCCCGCACACGACAACACGCGTCGCCAGGTGCAAACGACACGATCACAACCACCGAGGGTTGGGAGCGGAGTGGTCAGTGGAATCAGCGGGAGAAGCGCAAGCAGGTGAAATAGTGAGAGTCGTGCGGTGTGCGTGGCGTGAGTGGAGAGCCTAGGGTGGTGTGTGTGGATGAGTGTGGTGTGTGTGTGGTGCGAGTGGTGAGTGCAGAGTGGTGAGTGAGTGGTGAGTGCGGTGTGTGTGTGGTGCGAGTGGTGAGTGCGGTGTGGTGTACGTGGTGTGTGTGGTGTGTGTGGTGCGAGTGGTGAGTGCAGTACGTGGCGAGTGTGGTGAGTGTGGTGAGTGTGGTGAGTGTGCCGAGCGTGGTACGGTGTGATGTGGGTGGTACGAGTAGTGCAAGTGGCGAGTGTGGTTCCACGTGTGTGGTGCGAGTGGTGAGTATGACGATATAGCGAGTGTGATGCAGAGTGATGCGTGTGGTGCGTGCGGTGCGCACAGAACATACGGTGTGTGCGCCATGTGTGGTGAGAGTGGTGAGAGTGGCGAGGGAAGTGCATGCAGCGCAATACGTGATGAGAGTGGGCGAGTGTGGTGAGCGCGAGTGGTGAGACTCACTCGTGTGCCGAGTGCGGCACGTGCGTGGGCGAGTGGGGAGCGAACCCTTACCCGCACGTGCGAGGGGTCGAACAGCCCCTCGGGGATCTTGAACCTCTCTGGCCCAAAGTCGCAGTTGTATCCGTTCGGGAACTCGTAGTGAACCGTGGGCATCTGAGCGGCCACCCTGCACACAGCACACCACACAGACGCGTACGCACGTACAGATACACGCCGGTGAGGGGTTTCGTACAGGCGGAAAGACAGGAGGAGAGAGGGGGGAACAGCAGAACTGGTACAGGGGGAAAGGAGTGAGAGAGAGAGGAAGGGAGGGGGGGGTGAGCTGTACATTATGTACGTGCACATGTGGTACGAACTGGTCATCGTAGGAGGAGTCGGAGACCTGAAGCACAGACGCCTGAAAGTCCTGGATCACCTCCTGCCACACGCACATAGCACAAGACAAAGATCCCCGTATAGCCTTAACAGACTTTTTGGGGTAAGTGCTGTTAGCGAGTAGCACCTATGAAGGCCGGCACGGCACACGAGAGTGTGGGTGGCCAGCACCACGCCCAGCCGCCTTTGTCTCCCTAGTGGCGATGTTTACACACCGCACCGGGTACTCATTTGGGACCAGTTCAGATAATCATCACTGGTGTTGGTGGCCATGGGCGGGAATCGAACTCAGGAAGCCAGGTTTGTAGCGCACAGCGCACACACCGCTACGTTAGTGATCCCCAGTCCTTCGCCGCACCGTACCACGTATCACTCGTCTTCTCTCGACCGTGTCGCAAACCCACTCAGCCCCCTCTCTATCCAGCCGAACACCGCACACAGAGACACACAAAGGACAGGCAACACGCATCGCGCGCACACGGCACACAGCATACACGCACGGTACACTGAACACAACGTTGCGGACAGTTATAAGAATGACAAACGTGCCCATGAGAGACGTAGCGATGAAATCAGCTCGTGGTGCAGCCGCTTGGTGGGTGATTGCATCGCGGGGCCACGAGAGATGGGGGGGGGGGGACTTTGGGCGCCACGGTGGCTAGGAGATGTTAACGACCTCGCCTGGTATAGAGGAGGTCGTGGGGTCAATCCCAACCCTGACGCTTGCTGCTGTATATTTGGAGTTTTCATGCTTCTCTCCCCGTGGTCGCGTGAAAATTTCTCCGGGTCCTCCAGTGTTTTTTCCCTCCACATTTAGAATCAACGTCACGCGTTTAAGAGTATTTGGCTGCCGTAAGTTTCCACACAGTAAGCTACCTTGTTGAGCAATCATTTGTGGCCAGGTCACTTCTGAAAAATAGTTTATAGTTCACGAACAATTTGTAGTTTCTTTCAGTCGTGGAACGATCATGGCTCAAGTTGGTAATGATGATGATAACAGTGTTACGACAGCGGCCGCGCTGTTTGGATAATTGCAACGATGACGACGATTTATCAGGTTACTGCCCGGCCGCTCTCTCACGTTGCACATGTGGTTGTGCCAGGAGCGCGTCACTTGCGGCAGCTTCTCCTTCTTCTTCCAGCTGGGCTGGGAGCCCTCTCGCACCGCGTCCTGCCGCACGTGCGGTCAACACAACACCAAGCAGGGACAAACATCAGGGAGGCGCGCGCGCAAGGATGCTGCGACGTTTTTCTAACAAGCGTGTTTTTTTCCCCAGGAGCATTTAATTCAGCGCTAACAACGGTTAATTAGCGATCGTTTAAAGCCGCGCAACGAAATGACATACAGAGCTAGGACGCAGAGACCTGCGCGTTGCGCAGTGACCCACGGGTCAAAATGTATACCCATAGACTTACATAGCCAACCACAGACGAACATAGACCAATAGACTAACATAGAATGCATAGATTAACTTAGCTACAGGTAGCACCCACAGACTTAACATTGAACCCATAGACGAGCGTCGAACCCATAGACGAGCGTCGAACCCATAGACTTAACATTGAACCCATAGACTTAACATTGAACCCATAGACATAACAATGAACCCATAGACGAGCGTCGAACCCATAGACGGACCTTGGAGGCGATCATGTAGGGAGGGACTATTTCTATGTTCATCTCCTGGAACATCTCGCGGCACTGCATGGTGATGAAGTCACCAGCTAGGGGCGACTTCACAATGCCTGGGCACAGCAGGGACAGAGATCACGCAGAGCAGCGCCACACACACACATGGCACCGTGAACACAGCAGCGTCAGCGTGTCGACATGTATCTATCATGTACAGGGATCGCCATGACGTATGTGCGTGTGATTATTAGTTTTTATGAGGAGGCCCGTGAAGGACGCTGCTACTGGGCAGTTAGAGGCAGTCGCCTTCCCACAACAACGGAGGGCAGAGGAGCAACGCCCACAACAACGAGCAGAGCGCCGGGTGGCTAAAATACAGCAAGTTGTCACAGTAGGGGGCACAGCTGCTACATATCTCAGTCAGTCAACCCATGGCACATGGGTCTGTCCCGTGACCTCCTGTCAGCGAGCCTTCAACACTTCACGTGGCCTGAAAGTGCACCTGGCCTGGCACAGATCCAGTGGTGACGTCACCACCACTTCGTGGTGAATGGCGGGTGTTTTTGTTGTACGAGTGTAGATGCTCACTAACTACACTTGCCCTAACAGTATGTTTAGGCTATATGGGGGTTCTTTGTATTTGTCTTGTACGAGTGCGTGACTGTGTGGGTGGCGAATATTTTAACTGGTCCAGGGACCTCCCTCTACGTCAACACAGCCTTAAATGAAGTACCTGGTGCGGCACGTACACATCAACACGAGGGAGACAAAGGCGGCAGGGCGTGGTTGCTGCCCACCCGCCAAGTGCAGTGCCGGCCTACGTAGGCGCACGCTAACAGCGCTCGCACGGTCTGTCGAAGGCTACATGGGAGAGCTTTGTCTTTGTGCGTGCGTAGACACGGACCCTGCTGCAGCACGTAGCCATCGTGCACGGGGATCGCCGTGGTGTGCGTCGCTCCGCTGTCGAGCACCAGCGCCGTGGAGCGCCCGTTGGCGAAGCTGTGGCCACGAGCGAGTCAAGGAGGTTGGAGCATTGTCCAGCGATGAGCCGACCCGACCCACCGGTCAAGTCACGGGAGTGTCTGACAAAACCCACTAACTCAACAAACTGACCGACCCGCCGATCAAGCAACGGTACCGTCTGACAACCCGACTTACTCAGAGACTGACAAACCAGCTGGTTAGTCGACAAACTGTTACGGTTAATAACCAGGGCAGCCAGCCAGAGGAGAACCGTGAACCTCTGCAAACAAGTGACGAACGCGCAATCGCCAGCCTGCATCACCGTCCCAAATCAGCTGCTCAGTTTGACACATGTGACCGCAATCGAGTCGGCAAGTAAACCAAGTCCTTTAAAAATAACGTTCTGAATCGTCACTCCCATCCTAACAGAGCTAACATTTTCATGTTTCTACAGCCTGGTTCACGTGCATTTTGCATGATCCACTTTTCTGTTTGGGCCAGATCCCCCCACCTCCACCATCATGCTGGACAATCCTGTTCCCGGTGCAGTAAACACCAACAACGGGGAGGGAAAACGTGGCCAGGCGTGAAGCTGGCCACAACAACACGTCCTCATGCACTAATGGTGGCCTGAAGATTTTCTACAGCGCAATTCGTATAAGCCCTCAAATAGATGCTAACAGCACTTTCCCCCTGCAAGCTTTATGGCTGTATGGGCAATGTTTTGTGTGTGTGCACAGATCTGCGAATACTGCGATCTGTGAGCGCTATTGGGCGTTGGCAGGTGCGAGGATACGCGGTGAGCACTGCCGACTTGCACAGGAAGAAGGCGGGGATGTTGTAGTGCTCGAACATGAGCTCCGTCAGCCTCTCCCGCTTTCCCCGCGCGTTCCACTGAGCCACACGACACACACACACACGTACAGATGCACACACATGCACATGAATGCAGGAGGCGGTGGCCAAAGCCGTTCCTAGGGTACAGTGAATCGGGGTGACTGCCCCAGGCCCCGCGCTTTGGGGGGCCCGGCGCTTCAACGTCACGGTGGTGTCAGACGTAATGCTTTAGTTTGAAGGCGTCGGGGGGGCCCCACACCCCACTATGGACAGGCCTGGTGGTGGCTATGCACGCGGCCTGTAATCCAGCACTGAGGAGGAAGCGAGGGTTGGTGGCTCACACGAATGTTGCACAACTTCCTTTCTTCGTGGGCACTGAGAAGGAGCCATACCCTGGCTTGCCAGGAGAAGGCGGTACAGAAAAGTGCGGATCAGTATCATCTATCACTCTTCTGTATGAGAGTGCTAACCATACACGTGGTTTCCTCCCACATGTATGGCTAAAAACAGCTCAATAAATAGAAAACTGTAGAGCTTGGACAATCGCTAGCACCAGTTCACCGCCTGGCTGTCTTTCGTTCCTCAGCGATTGTGAGAGATGCAATTTGCGTGAACGACGCTGCTACTTAACAATAAACGTGAATGTGCGCGCACCGCGCGCACACACGCACACAAAGTGCACGCACACACGCGGCAAACGACCACTGAGAAATGACAATTGTGGGAATGCTACCTCACGATTGTAGCCATCGTGCTAGGCACACGACAGCAGTGGATTGACAAAGGTTGTGTCCCGTGTACGAGGAACAAGAAATCGCAAGGGGATGTAGGTGGGATCCACCATGGTGGAATGTAGGTGGGGTCCACCACAGTGGTCGAGGGTTGCAAGGGGTGTGAATAAAGGTTCTTTACCGGAGCTTCGGACATGAGCACTGGGTGTAGGTCAGGTTCCGACTTGATGTTTCGTTTGTACGTGTGATCCAGAATGGCCTGGAAGCAATCCCAGTCTTCGACTGTGGACCCGCACACATACACGCGAGCACATGGCGTCACCCACACGCACAGACGAGCACAAGGCAGGGTTAAGTATCTGATCAAATCACCCAAAATGTGCCCCATCTCCACAGTTAAGCAGGTTCTGAAAACTCGACAGCGCTCGCATGGGGATTTTTGTTTCACGTGACCGGGATCCACTGTGAGGTTACAGGGGGAGGCCCTCATCCAGCAGTGGATGAACAAAAGGATAACACATGCATCAGTATACGTACTGCATATGGGCCTTGTTTAGCAAGCGTCGACAAAAAAACTGTGCTCGTGACTGTTTAGCAGATGAGAGTTCGTGTTTTTATTTATTTAGCGAGGTCATAAGAAATCCAGAATGTAGGTGATGTCAACAGAATTGAGCAGCGTGAGGAAAGAAGCAGCAAGTGGAGAGAGTTTTGACCTGCAATATGCTATGTATGTATGTTTAACTTCTTTTGCACCTGTACGTAGCCAACCGTGCTAATCGGAGGTGCGGGAAATGGCACCCACTCCAGGGCAGTGGGACCCTGGGTAATTTGTTGATCACTTAAGGCAGATGAGCCTCAAGCAGGTCAATGGAATTCGCAAACACTGGGAAGGCGTGGCTTCAACCTGGTGAATTGTTCCGGCCATCAACAATCACACGATGAAGAGGGAGAAAGCGCTGGCGAGGAGTGGCGGCATCAACAGCTTTGGCCATGATGACAACTTCATCTTGATGGCGGTGACACTCAAAGGAGTCTGTGAGCGACACTGCATGTGTGTTCATGTGCTAGCGTTCACGTGGGGAGCGGTAGTGTAGCGGTTGGCACGCTTGTGCTACAATCCCAGCGACCCACGTTCAATACCCACTCATGGCCAACACTAGTGACGATTATCTAGACCAGTTCTGGGCCTCCCCTAGGTCGACTCGGCCTCAAATTACGACATAGCGAGGTGTGTAAACATCGCCATTGGTGAGATAAAGGCGGCTGGGCGTGGCGCTGGCCACCCACCCACTCGTGCTCCGTGCCGGCCTTCATAGGTGCTGCTCGCTAACAGCACTTGCCCCTACAGTCTGTTGAGGCTATAAAGGTGGGGGGGATCTTGTCTCCGTATTCAAGCGCTCGCCCAGCCCACTCACTCATTCCGTTCTTGAGCGGTGACGTGACCTCCATGCCCTCGCGCGCCACGTGCAGCGCGTTCACTCCGATGTGGTAGGACCTGCGGGCGCCAACGTGGCCGCTCTCCATGCCAACGCGCTCCAGCCCGTCCACGTCCATGGGCGTCGTGCCGTCCTCCCGCTCCAGCATCATCCCGAGGGCGGTCGGGAAGTCGGCCTGCCCCGCGCACGGCAGCGGTGTTCAGAGTCAAAAACTCAACACATTCATTCTAGATTTGAAGCTTTCGTGACTGCAAGGATTCATATTCTTAGGTTTTTTCTGTAAAGTCACTTTACCGAAAAAACCTAAGAATACTCAACACATTCGTCAAAAGCACCGTGGCCTTAAAATAAATATATAATATAATCTGTTCTGCTACAACGCATGTTTTCATAACGTGAATTGGATTAGGGAACACTTTGTTTTCAACGTGAATGCGAATGCGAGTGAGTGAACAGAACTACGTCGCACGAGTAAGAATAAGCGGTTGCACGGCTGCCTCAGCGTAGCGTTGCACAAGGCGGGATGCTGCTGGATACTTCTAGATGCTACCCACGCGCCTCTGTGTTTGTTCAGCCTGTGTACGCATATCACGTGTTATGGCATGTGGGTGGCTTCCAGACTGTACACAATGCAAAAGTATAAAAATAGACTTTTATATTTTGGGGGGGGGGGCGCAATAATAGATATATTTTGCATGGCAAATGAGCGGTCACATCTGTGATGTCACCCGCATACGGAAGCGTTACGTAGTGAGCCTGCTGACGTAACGCATCCCCCCCATCCTCCGCGTAGGCTGTGTATTAATCCAAGACAAGAATCCAAGTCTCGGGCGAAGCCGGGTAGTAAAGCTAGTTATTTATAACGCGATTCTTCCATAACGCGGTGTTCTTCGGGAACGCAACTACAGTGTTATAGGAGAACGAACTGTATATCATGTGACGTTTCGGGCAACGACCCTTCTGTATGCGCACATGACGAAGGGCCATTACTTTCAACATTAGTGTGAGTTACGTGCAATTCCCGTCCCAAAATACATGGGCGTGAGCAGGACACAACGCTAGTAGGGATGACGGCCAATGGGTGAGAATAACAACGGATCGCACGTAAAAGATACATCCACTATAGAGACTGGCCGATTAATTCAGCACGTGTGCTGGTATCAGATGGATTGCTGCATTGTGGGACTGCTGAGGGATGATGAAGATGGTTGGTGGAGGCATACTTTCCATTCTTTGCATAACACTTTGCATTATTTTTCTTTTACAATTTTTATTTTACCAGCTCAGGCCCACGAAGCTGTATAGCTTTTTCAGAAGCGACCTGGCCACAAATGATAGCTCAAAGAAGTGGCATATCGTGTGGAAATTTATAGCAGCCAAATATTCTAAACGCGTGCTGTTGATTCTAAATGTGGAAGGTAAACCGCAGGACCTGGAGAAAAATCCATGCGACCATGGGGAGAGAGAGACACGCAAACTCCAAATATACAGCAGCAGGTGTCAGGGTCGGGATGAAACCCACGACCTCCTGTATACCAGGCGAGATAGTTAACATCTCCTAGCCACCGTGATGATGATGAGAGAGAGAGAGAGAGACACGCAAACTCCAAATAAACAGCAGCAGGCATCAATCGGGATCGAACCCATGCCCGCCTGTATACCAGGCGAGGTAGTTAACATCTCCTAATCACCGTAATGATGATGAGAGAGACACGCAAACTCGAAATATACAGCAGCAGGCGTCAATCGGGATCGAACCCATGCCCTCCTGTATACCAGGCGAGGTAGTTAACATCTCCTAGCCACCGTAGCTTCGTTAATGTCCATGTTTATGATCCAGGTCATCGTTACTTCCGAGCACAAACGCCCGTTGGAAATCAATCCAGAATCCACGAATAAGCGTCACGTTCCTTCCTCCCTCGCCTTGCCCGCCGCTCTGCGCGAGTGTGTTCGTCGCACGGGGCCCCCACACGCGCCTACCTTGGGGCAGTCCTCGCCCGCAAACCCTGTGCGCACCGAGTACGATCCCAGGTCGAACACCAGCGCCCCCACCTCATCTGCGTTCACGACGCAAAACAACAAAACAAGAGTTAATTCAATCTTGATTGGAAGCTTTCGTGACTGCAGGAATCTTTGGTTCTTTCGGTAAAGTCACGTAGGTAGAAAATAAAATAAATCACGACGTTTCGGGCGCAATACAAGGGTCCTTCATCATGTAGGAAAGCCTCAGCAGCAGACCACGCTTTCCCACCTGGTTACGGACGCTTGTGTTGCGCCCGAAACGTCGTGATCTATTTTATACCTACGTTCGTTCACTCGTTCATTCATTCTAGGAGCAAGGGAGCCATGTATGCCCCGAGCCTCAAATACCTAAACTAAGGCACCCTTACGATCTTTAGAGTTCAGTGTTAATGCCTGTGGCTAACCAAAGCCAGACTTGGGCACGCACTCTAGGCTGTATAAAGTACTGTATTAAAGTATGATACTCAGAGCCAAACGAAGGCATTATTACATCCTTACGGCTCAGTGCGGATGCCTGTGGCTCAAAAGAGTCATCTTAAGGCACCCTTAGAATGTTTACAGTTAGGTATTAATGTCCAGACTCAGAGCCGAGCTCAAGGCAACATTTAAGGATATACCGTTTGAATGCCTAAAGCTTATAAACATAAATTAATGCACCTTTAATACTGCGAGTCGGTGTAAATGGGGGGGAAAACCCCCGTCTAGAATACTCACCTCCGCCGTATACTCCGCCGCTCATGATCACCGACTCGGTCCACGCAGCTCTGCCGACCTAGGCACCTCGCGGCCGGGCAGGGATTCTATCCGAGAAGGGGTTACCCCCGCGCGCCTACTTCGGGCCTAGCACTCGCCTTCAAGTCTCTTCAACTTAAAACGATCAACATCAAAACCAAAAATAATAACGAAATGTTTTTTGTGTAAAAAAACAAAGTACAGTTGTTAGCCTCGGCGGAAAAGGCACCGCTTTTAAATATTTAGATTTTTTTATATATTCGGTAATGAACGCGGACCGGGAGACGCTGCAAACCGGCGCGTGGAACGGGGGCACAATGGAAACGAGAATCGATTCGCGCGTCACGCAATCGATTCTGCAGATTCCCGAAGTGCTCGCGGGCGAACGGTAGCGGGCATCGATCCGTAAATTATTTTAAATAAAATCTCGATTCCGGGTAATCGATTCTCCACGCCTCCTGTGGCCAGGTCATTTGCACCAACCCCAATTGTCTCTGGGTATCCGGCGAAGCTGTGGATGGGTTTACTCCGTGAGTAAGGGGCCGTCCATAAATGACGTCACGCACCTGGGGGGGGGGGGGGGGTCAGACATTTGTGACGATGTGTGACGAGGGGAGGGGGGGTTGAGAAATGTGACGTCACATCAAAATGCGCAACTTTAAATAAATATAGACGACACGTTCTACTTAATTAAATAGACTTTTTAATAAATGTTTTCTCCTACAACATCAGAGTGCAGCGCCACATTAAATACGCACAATGGCAATAGTTTAAAGCGATTTGAAGCATGTTTTATTTGATGGGCAGAGCTTTGTGGCGTCATATTTTTGGGGGGGGTCTGACTTTTTGTGACGCCGTGTGACGAAGGGGGGGGGGGGGTCAAAATTCGTCCAAAATCGCGTGACGTCATTTATGGACGGCCCCTAAGATGTTCAAACACCAACTGGACATCCTTTTGCAAGGAATCAAAGTACTGCATTAACCACACCGCAGTTATTGTGTTGAACATGCAAACGAAGCTGTCAACCCCTTATCAGTCCCTAACTTATTACAGACCAATTCAGGCCTCATCGATCACCCCGTCCTCTTATAAATCTCAAAGTCCCATCATAAGGGATAAACACAAACAAATAGACAAAACATGTTTGCCTGTATTGGGACCTGAAAATTCAATTTTCCTGTACAAGAATACGCCTAAACATTATGGGTTGACAGGTATGGTATAGTGTACTGTATAGTAGTGTAGTTTATAGTGTAGTATATAGTAATGTACTGTATAGTAGTGTAGTGTATAGTGTAGTCTATAGTAGTGTATAGTGTATACCATACCTGTCAACCCCTTATCAGTGCCCTAACTTATTACAGACCAATTCAGACCGTATTGGTCAACCCGTGCCCATTATAAACTCAACGTTCATCCTGCAAAGTCCCACCACAAGGGAGAAACACAAACAAATAGGCACAAAATGTTTGTATTGAAACGGCTGTACGCCGTATGGACCTGAAAGCTCAATTCCCCTGTACAAGAATACGGCTAAACCGTATGGGGTGACAGTTATGTGCAAACAAACACGCTTCGATAATAAATACATTGTCTTTGTAACTGATTGGCCTACACCAAAACAGCCTTCGTTATGGTCTATTTGGTGTTTTTGGCAATACATCTGTTGTATTGCCAAAAAGGTTGAAACCTATTCTTACTTTTCATACTTTGATACTGGCAAAAAGGTCCCATGATCAAATTTCAGCCTGGTTGGGGATTGGATTGGGCGGCCACCGTGCGTCACAGGGTGCTCATCGGTTACACGTTTCGGGTTGTGCGAAATACATGTCTGATAACACCGATTAGCAAACGGTCGGCTACATACGCTACCATTAGAAATTCAACATACCGTGCATAACATGAATATATATAGAGGATCGCAGAGCTTGGGGAAATGTTCTTCGCACCGGCTGACTGTGTGGCTGCTACCGTCTGCAGTTCCACGCGCTTCTGAGTCGTCCTCTCTGTCTGGCCTGTTACAAGTTGACATTAGTATTATTACATCCTATTTACAAAGTCCAAGTGAGTTCTGCTTGAATTAGCATTGAGACGCTGCTCAGCCCTTTACAGTCCGGAGCCAGTAGTGGAAACTCCACGTTCCGACGGCAGGGGCGCAAGTCTATCCACAAGATAAACCACAAATTGGTGTCCATCTTATCGACCCCGCGGGGTGTGGTGATGGGCTGAGTCAACCTCCCAACCAGGATTTTAACTCCCAACATTCCGACTGCGGGCAATGCCCTTCTCCGTGGAAAATAAATAAAATGAAGAAAGCGCATTATCCTGAGCGTATCCTATTATGTCTTTGTTTTAAGTCCACGCACAGTGGTGTTATTGACGAATGTGTGGAGTTTTAATATTTAACGTCTGTCGGTTCCACCAGCGTTGATTGAAGCGAGCCTGACTGCTGATGAGATACTGAATATCGAGTGTTGCCTTGTACTGTACTGAATCTATGCTGCTGATATGATGCACTGCCGAGTAGGTCGCATGGCTGAGGGGATATGTAAAGAATACTTGTATATAACAACATATCTTTTTTTTCAGAATATTTATTTATACTGGAGGAATCTGATGTGCTATAAAGCTCTTTTTCACAGATGTCCAGCAGGGGAGGGTAAGAACTTCACAACAACAAACAGAAAAAAATCTGAGAGTGGTGCAAAGTACAAGAAAGGTAAGCAAATCACCAAACCACATGCAAATAAAACTAAACCATCCCCATCCCACCAAGCAAAGCCCACTGAGGTATTCACTTATTTTCATAAGTCACCTGGCCACAAATGATAGCTCAACAAAGCGGCCCATCATTTGGACATTTAAAGCACCAAAATAATCTAAATAATATCAATGAATGTGTTTGATATGGACGGAAAACTGGAGAACCTGGAGAAACAATCCACACGTCCACGGGGAGAACATGCAAACTCCAAATGTACAGGCGTCAGGGTCGGGATCGAGCCCCCTACCTCCTGTACACCAGGAGAGGAAGATGACATCATACCACCGTTGCGCCCCTTAAATAAAAAAATATACAAGTTCAAATTGCATCATCAGTTCTCAAGCTTCGAAAAGGCAGTAAAACAACAGCAAACTTCCATACCACACCAAGACAACACTGTACAGTCCCTCCATACACATTGTACATTAAAATTTAACTCGCGATACATTAAGGATTAAATTTACAAATCACATTTTCAAACGTGGCTGTATCCAGCACTAATCTTCTGCTGCGAAAATATTTTTTTTACGAATATTTATGATGTTGAGGGAGGAAACAAGGTTGTTTCAAAACCTCGGTGCTGCAAAGGCAAAGCCTTTGTCACCAATTCCAATTCTTGGAATGGTTAAAAGGCAATTAGATGGAGTCTTAGGTTTCTTGTATTTGACAATGGAGTTCATGAATTAGCTAAGTATAGCGCAGATTTGCCAATAAGGATTTTATGGATGAATAGGGCTCAAAGTAGATGTATTCTTGCATCAAATGATGTGAGATTGGATTTTAAGTAGAGGTCACGATGGTAGGTTCGGTACTGTACATCCAGTGCAAATCGAAGAGCAGAATACTAAAGCGGGTTTAGTCTGTTGAGTGATTCATTAGTAGCTGATCTGTAAGAAGCATCACCGTAGCCAAACAGTGGTAGAATGATAGCTTCATTAATTTTCAGGCGTAGTCGAATGGGGAATAAAATGTGTTTGTATATAAAAATCCAAATTTGGATTTGATTTTTATCGAGATATGATCAATATGGGATTGGAATGTAAGTTTTGAACCGATTAGCAAACCCAAGTATTTTAAGCACTCCGTTTGTTCAATTATGTTGTTTCTGATATCAGTAATAGGTGAAGAGAATGAAACTGGATTTTTGTTTGAGGAAAACACCATGAAATAATTTTTTTAAAGATTTAGGAGTAATTTAGTCATGAAAATTGATGTTGAGTTAAACCAAAACCGTGTTGGAGATTCTCTTTGACTTATTTAGAATATTTACTAGATACTGGTGTAGTGTAATAGCGCCGGCTGGTGGCCAGCAGCGGCAACTGCGGTGTTCAAACAGTACACACGCCGGCGAGCATATACACGGGTGTGTTGGCAGGGCGGAGGAACTGGGGCAAGGGTCATGGAGGGCCCCACCTGGAAGCCCCTGGAACCTGCTAGTGGGTTCGAGAAGGGAGGCTGGTAGCATAAAAGGGGCCGAGAGCGGGAGCTCGAGGTTGCCGGTTTGGGATTGGATCGTCTCGTCGTTGCTATCGTCTCGTCGTCATCGTCGCTGCCATCTTCGCTCGATATTGCGCTGCTAGTTAGGTGTTGGCTGTCTCAGTCAGCGCCATCGGTGTTAGGCGGCTAGTGTTGTGTACAGGCTAGCGACGGTGGAGTGTGTGCAGGCTAGATAGTGTGTGTACAATAAAGAAGGTGCCTCTACAAACCCTCGTCTCCGAATTATTGACAATATACTAGCATGACAGTGTCATCAGCAAAGCTATTTAATTGTCTAAATATAATGAGAACAGAACAGAATGGGACACAGCACGGAATCTTACGGAACACCAATCTAGATTTGAAGTTTTCGTGACTGCAGGGATCCATACTCTTTGGTTCTTTCGGTAAAGTCACGTAGGTATAAAATACCGAAAGAACCAATTATGGTAAAAACCCTTGGCTATTTTATGGATGAGATAGTATCACGGATGTACCCATTAACAACGGTCTGAGAGGTAGCCCTTCAACCATTTTACTGCACTGTCTGAAATGATTGTGGGTAGAATATCATGGTCAACAGTGTCAAAGGCTTTTGACAAGTTGAGCAAAGCAGTAGTGGCCTTTATCCAGGTTACTGAAGACAACGTGTAATAACCATTGCTGTGGTAGTGCAGTGATTCTCTCAAAAACCAGACAGTGGTCTGTGAAGGAGATTGTTACTTTTGTTGTAGCAGTTTATTTGCGATTTAAGTATTTTTTGGAATATTTTAGCAACTGGTGAAAGAATAGAGATTGGTCTATTATTATTAGGGTCTTCTTTGAAGCCATTTTTATATACCGGGTGAATAAGAGCGGTTTTCCACTCGATCGGAAATGTACCTTTGATAAGTGAGAGGTTGAAAAAGTGTGAGGGGTTTATAGGTAAGATCTGCCACAGCCACACGTGCAAATCCAGGCGATTCGTCTTCTCCCGGGGATGATGATGACGATGATGTCTTGATTGACGATGGTTTATGCGATAAATCGAGTTCAGATATGGGACTAAACGAGAAGTATGGAGGATGACTTT